TAGCACAAGCAGCAAATGTGACTTCCGAACTCTCCTAGCTCTCCATCCCAGCCACCACCCAGCTCCCCAGCCTTGAGGCAGGAAGCTCCAAGCCAGCCTTAAGCCAGCTGTCGCTCTCTGGGAGAACACAACTCTAGCTTCTCACTCTGCAAACAAACGTCAAAATGAAATTTGCGTTTCCCACCTTAGACTTTAAAACATGTTTGTTGAAACATTTTAGCTGGAGTAATTTCAAGTGTATTTTTCCTTTTGGCCAGCTAAACCTAGAATGATTAAGCTGAGAAGAATTATACCCCAAGGAAAAAAACCTTATAAAATAGAACATTTAATGTTTCACACATACACCATTCTTAAGACATTTCTTTCATTCAGCAGTTTTATTCTAATATATATTCTGTGCAGCAATCAAGAAAACTGAAAAAAAAAATTCTTATACCCTTATGCTGCTATGGTTCATGAGACTCTTATTTCCAAGCATCGGATTCTGCCATGCTCATTCTCATTTACTCATCATGGAACAAGTAAAAGGCTCACAGGAGTGGTGAGCCTCCAGAAATCTGGCATTGATTGCAGAGTAAGGCTCTCTTCAGTGTGACACAGTAATTGTGTAGCACTGGGTCAAAAATGTTGAGGGAGACTCCCGCTTCTGTAGGATAAAAACTCAACTTCAAGAAAATAATTGTCAGAACCATTCTTGATTACTCCTTGGTAACAGGTCACGGGTTTTATTCCGCTCCAAAGTTTTTGCATCTCTCTCAGATATTTCAAAAACGGCCAGTTTTTAGTTCTATTCCCTAGTTAAACTGAGTGGATATTGTAGGATGCATATGATTGACAGGGTTTACCAGCATGCCCAGCTGAATCGCCAGCACCGCCACTCTGGCTTCCTGCTCAGGTTCTTGTTCAGCCTCCCTTAAGGCTTTGGCTCCTCTTGCATGACCCATGTTTCCAAGGCAAATTTTGGCAACATCCAGCCTCTGAGTCTTCACACACATGCGAGCCATGTTCTCCCAGACAGCCTCACTAGGAAAAACAAGAAAGAGAAGGAGAACTGTTATGGTGTCATCGTCAAGACTTGTGAACTAAGCAGGTAAGATGCAAGGAAAGATGGGAGCGCGAAGGAGAAAGCAGTGTGTATGTTGCACAGTTACTGGAGGAACAGAAAAAGGCCTCAGACAAACAGGTCAGTTCTGGAGCTGAACGTCCACAGCCCTTAAGAAAGTACTGGCGCTTTTGTTTCACACTGATGTCTAAACAAAAGCAGTTAGATTTGCATATATCTAAACGTTTATCGCACACCCATTGCTGAGGTTTTTGACGCAGTTGCATCGTTCAACGTATAAACATTAATAATAGTCCCATGCCAACGTTCAGAATTTGAAAAAGTCCAAAGAGAAAATTCTTATGTATGGCATAAACCTTACACTGAAAATGTCCTCCTGCTACTGCCTGACTTCTGTAGCTCCAGTCTGGAACAGCTATTAAGGCCTTACCAGTTACGCTAATAGTAAGGAATGATGTGCAGGAAACAACTAACCAAACTATTGTGCTCCAATTTAAAACTTGCATTTAAAAAAAAAAAAGGCACTAAGCGAAAAGTGTTGCATTGCTCAAAATAGGAATTCCCCAGGGCTCAGACTAAGCTTAGAAGTGCAGCAACACCTCACATCATTGCAAAATCACCTGCCAGGACAGAAGCGGCGAACGCCAGCGCCGAGGGCCCGTGCAGCAGGGCCAGGTCTCAGCAGACAGCCGTGCCGAACAGGGGGCCGCAACAGAGCTGGCAGGTCCGAGGGGACTTGCAAAGATTGACACGGAGTCTGTTCACGTCTGAAGCTCCTCCGAACATAATGCAATATGTTTGATGCATAAAAACCACAGGCATCCCAACGCTGTTTTTTTTTCAGCGCGTGCACCTCACTGGACGTGCAGTCCACACAATTACAGTTCTCAGGCACCACCGCAGCACAAAACAAGCATCTGAGTGATAAAAGCAGGGGAAAAGAAAACCACCACCCCCAGCACCACCAGAGCTGAATGACACCTCAGGCCCTGCACCTGCACCCAGCTCCCCTTCCAGTTTGGAGGAGGCTGACAATCACGTTTTCCTATGATTAAACTGTTTTTCTCTTCCCAGTTGCTGTGGGAAAGACCCACACAAACAGGGGAAAATGACTAACCGGGAAGCAGCGGAGCAGGCGAGACACGACGTGCTGTCAAACACAGGCCACGAAGACAGACAAGAAATATTTCTCGCCGTCTACTTCACAGGGAGATTATCTTCTATTTGCAACTACTTGAGGCAACTACAAAATTTTCAGGCAGAAGTCAGTTTAAAAGCGTATATTTAAACGTACACTTCACTAAGGCCAAACAAAATAGAAAAAATAAAATAGCATCAAAAGTAATAAAACAGGGACAAGTTTCAGAGAATTCGGCAGCTTTCCTTGCTTAAAAAAGCAAGGTATGTGTTTGAATGCTTTCCTGAATTTCTGGTATGTGCACGTCCAGGCTGAATCTGGTTCAAACACAGATGAACCAGATCTTGCTCTGCTTCAACCTACCCAAGTCCCTGCCGGACTGAGGAGCCCAAAGGAACACAGGAGCAGAACGTCCTCGTTTCTGAACTTGAAAGGCCTTACAGAAGCTGCAGCGCTGGATCCTTCTGTGTGCACCGCTCTGGGTCTCTGTTCAATGCAGAAATGCCAATTTACATCCACAGAGGATGCGTCCTTCCTAACTTTTGAAAGGTCCGAATTAGTCTTTTCTTTTATTCAAGTCGCTGCCCATACCTAGTATTAAAAATCACTTGGAAAAACACCTTTAAAGAACATCTTGTTCGTGTTGGATGTCACCACTATACCTGGCTTTGATAAAGAGAGTAAGTTCTGTCGTTAGCAAAAGATGTCAAGTCTCAGAAAGGATGTGTGCGTGCACACAACTGTGCCTCACGGGGGGAGAAATGTAAGGAATTGGAATATATTTTCTGGAATCTGTAGCATGCCAGAAGAAGTTGCCAATAGCTATTTCACTCTGGCTAAGGGGACATGAGCCTGTGCTGCGCTTTGTCAAGCTGATAATCAGCAAAATTCTTAAAGGAAATAAAAATGTTAATTTTTAAGAGCCTTGACAGCTTGCAGCTTGCAATTCCCTCGAGGCAAGGTCAAGATGAGAGTTCAGGGACTTGAATAGAGACAAGGGGAAGAGAAATCTTATTTAGACTACGGGGGCTGGAAACTTTTGAAAGGAAATGGGCCAAACAGTGTATTTTAAAATACAAAGCTAAAAGATAACACTACGCAGAGAAACTTGGAAGAGTTTAGAAGATGCTGCTCATCATCTATTGGCAGCTTTCTGCTCTCATTAAAGGCAAGGGCTCCTGCCAGATTCAAAACCCAGAGAGAGCTGCTGTCAGCCCAGAGGACCCTTTCTTACTGCTCCTAGCCCCAGCCCTGCCCGCGTGTCCCCCGGGCACCCACGCTGCGTGTCGTGGACTACCCAGAGGCACCCCTGCTCTGAAGAACCGCAGCTCCACCATCCCACCTCTTCCCCCTCCACTCCAAACCATTTGCAAAACTAACCTGTAAGGCTTTGCATTTCTGCTCCCAGAGACCATCCGTTTTTAACAGCACGCTCCATATATCACCATCTACCGCTGATAAGGAAAACTTCAAGTATTTCTGACACAGTAACATGCTGTTTGCTTGCAAAGTCTGTCTCCCTAGGCCTAGCAATCAAGTTTATCATATATTAATATATATAGCAATGTATTATTTACCTAAATTAATTTTTTAATCTATTATATCTATCTTATTTAAAAATCGAAGAAAGCACTACAGTAACACCACCACATGAAATGCAAAAGAGCCTTAGTGCTTCACAAATCCAAACTATGATACAGAATCCCGATGGTCCCGCTGCCCAAGAGAGACACAACCAGCCTGGACAAACCACCGAGCTCTTGAACACCACAACGCTACAGCCGAGCCTAGGCTGGGAACCAGCACGCACCGCATCTTGTTGAAACCATGAGGGGGCAGGCGGCAGATCAGAGTTCCCAAAACTGGTGCGTGCCCAGGACGCTGGGATTCATCCTCCCGCGACTCCTGCAGAAACACCAGGGGATTTTAGCTGCCCACGGCAGCCAGGACCTTGGTTTCACCTTCATCTTGAAAAGACTCCTCCAGCCTCTCCACAGCATGGCTGCTCAGAGAGGCCAGGCGCTGCTCATAATGACAAATGCTTTCTTAGAGAGTGCCCTTGCAGCGCGTTCAGCTTGAGGCATCCGGCCGGCTGCTGCGCAAGCTAGCAGGCCTGCGGGCAACCAGCAAATCCCCGGGCCAGATAACGGACCCATCTGTGAAAGATCAGTAAAACTCTTCCATGTTTCTCTGCGCCCCAAGAACACCAGCCTCCTCCTTCACGTGGCACAATCTCTCCGCTTCGTTCAACCAGCGGGGGGACACCTCCAAGACCAGAGTCACTTTCCCAAAGCGCAGCTGCACGGAGGTTTGCTGCCCTTCAGGATTACGCACGGACAGTGCATCAGGCGGCAAAGCTCGATGCTGCATAAAACAACGCGGCAGGTGAGGCAGCTCGGGTCGAGAAGCAAGAGGCAGACGTGCAGTTCATCTCTCGACAGCTGTTAGCGTAGCCAGAAAGGCGAATCTGTCGTTGCAGCCGTAAAAGGCAGCGGCGTCTCCGTTTCAGCCTCGGCCTCGCTGTCGCCTATGAAGTCCCAAGCAGGGCTTTACCCTTCCCCCAGCTCACACTCGGAGCGTTTCCTGTTTCTCCCAACCCCCTCGTTCTTCTCACCCCTCTGGAAAGCCAGCTCACATCTGTACTTCATCAGCCAAAGCTGAACGCTTAACCAAGACCAGACGCGGTAACAGGGCAACGGGCGCCAGAGGGCGGCGGGCGCTCCTCCCTTGATTTCAGGCGATCTGTGCCTGCCCGCGAAGCACGCTCAGAAACGGCCCGTTGCTGCGCTACGGCCCCCCCGGGCTCCAGGCCCCATCAAGAGCCTTACGGCTCCCGAAGCAAACGTCGACGCCTCATGAGACCGGACGCAGGTATAACCACCTATTTATTTGGTGAAACACTTTTTCTCCCTATATTTCTGGTCTTTCAGGATGGGTTCTTCTGTGAAACTGTGTTTGTAACACCTAACAGTCTGATTTCACTACCCCTTCTGTTACCAGATATTTTTCATTGGCCTCAAAAGTTTTAAAAAACCCCAAAAAATCCTGTAAATGAAGCGTTATTTAGAAGTGCTAGACGTTTATATGCCTGAAGCACCCCACTACAAAATCTCTTGCCCTCTGGGGTATATATAATGGGGTATATTTGAAAAATTCTCGTACTCGCGTTCCATTTCTTGCCTCTAAACGTCTTGACCAGGAGAAAAAAGATTCTCCCTCTCCAGCGTGGGTCCCACTTTGCTGAACAGGACACTAAGCATCCTGATGTAAGACTACCTTCTAATACAAAAAAGTCGATTATTAATATTAGATATAACATCTATAATAACTATGCTGTAAAACAGTAATGCAACACTAAGAAGTGGATAGATTTTCGGCAGACTGGCTTTCCTCATGTCAACAAGAGACAAAAACAGTGTGTGAATTCATCTCGGTTTCAGTATAACTCCCACTGAACTCAACAAGCCTCTCCGTGGCGTTAACGTCACCACAAGCAGGGCCACGTCCCTAACGAACAGGGCTTCCTGGAAGGGGCGATTATCCCCTCGGGCCTCAGACGCAGCCCAGGCTGTCAAAAAAGGCCGTCTTGGTTTAAAATCGAAGCTTCATCACTGAACAAGCGGCAGAAGTTTTGCTGACCGAACACAGCGTGGACAAGGAAGCTTCGCTTTCGTATCACAGCAGCGGTACGAAAAAGCCGCTGAGCTGCAACGCTGAGACGTAAGGGGACTCTGTCCTCAAACAGAAGCTAACCAGGCCTGGGCAGATCATAGTAAAGACTGTTTCTGAGGGAAGACGATCTCGGCAAAAGCACGGTTGGTTCAACTGAATATGTATTAGTTGCCATTGGGGAAAAGACTCAAGACGATAATGGGTAGACTGTACAGTGAAATTCAGAGGGGATCCTCAGCTCACCAGGAACGCGGTGGACGTGCTATTCTAGCGCCAAGGGTTTACTACGAGACATACCGTAATGTAAAGCGTGTCCGGGCTGGCCTGGACACCGCTGCAAGGGTGGCACCACCCTTTCCCTATCCTCCACCCGCTGCCTATGTGCTGCTCCCGGCTGTCCTTACGCAAAGGAAAAGGATGGGACAAAGCAGGTGCTGTTTCCTAAGGAAAATTAACAACATCTATTGCTATGTTGCAAACGTTAATTACGTGCACTCTTGCCTGGACTGCAGTAACCCTGGCTTGCACCTTCCCACCCCTGAAAAAACAGTGCTACAATAATGTAACAGTTCTGGCTTACATGTACCACAGCAGGTGATTCTGACCAGGGAATTAAATGTACAACCCACTTTATATGCATGTATGCTTTATATGGATGGACTTGGGATTAAAGTACCATGCCATGGACCATAACACTTACAGAGGACTTGGACACAGCCAAGTGAGACAAACTGTTTGATATCTGAGGTTACTGGGGATTAAAAGCTGATCGTTTAGAACTAATGTATAAAATTGTTAAAATGCCTACAGAAATGAACAGCGATCTTGTATTCAAACTACTGCAAAATAAATTCTGAATTAAAACACCCAATTTAGTGGCCTATTATCTTCCCTCTTGTTACCTGGAAAGGATTCAGGACATGAAAACTAAAGTTTTATTTGAGGCAGCAAAATTTCTTTAGATCCTTTTAAAATTCATTTATAGGATTTTGGTTATCCCTGGTTCAGTGAGACTAAAAGGTAACAAGGAGCTAAATAACATATGAAAGGATTTTTTTGTTTTTTTTTCAAACGAGGAGTATTCCAGGACTGTTTTGTACTTGAAGTCCAAGACCTCCGAGTGCTATACAAACTTTTCAGAGAGACAGAACGTCACTAATTATGAAAGTACCAGAAAGAATCAGTTGATTAAAACTGTAACAAAAATGAATAACCGAGTCATTTTGATATGAGAAGGCTAGGAAAATTTACTGGATCCTTGCAAAACTCATTTAATTTTGACTTGACGCAAGCTACTCATTTTGATATGTTCATAATTTTACAGCTTTCCGCACTGTGATTATTTGAACAGAATGATTAAAAAAATCATTTGACTTTAAAAAAAAAAAACCAACCTTACCAAAAAAGAAATTGTGCCTTGCATAAGCACATAAATGGAATTTAATAGGTACTAAATGGTCCAATTCAGTATGGAAGTAACTAGTCCTCTGACTTAATCTTAATTACTGAGTCTCTGAAAATAAAATTACATTTACATAATTGATTTCTCACCCAGAATGTCCTACAAAGCTTTGGAAGCTGCTATCCAAAGTCCTGTGGAGTCATGAAACATAGCACTGAGCAGAACCGCTTTCCGGCACGGAAGAACGCAAACAGTTAGTTGCGGACAAGATCATCCACCAGAAAGCTGCAACGGCAAAGAAGGCTTCAGGTGCTTGCTGAATTTCTGCAGACACCACCAGTGGCTCCTGCCTTGCATTGCTCCTCAGATGCTCCCCATCCTGCCTTATTTTCTGGGCGGGCTGACGACTGAAGTGCTGCTGTCCTTTTCCCCCCAGTAAGCAGGGATCAGGGGTTAAACTCCCATCATCACAAAAACTGAACGTCTCAAATCAGCTGTGAGGAAGCAGTCCTCTCTAACGGAGGGGCAACACGAACTTAAAATGATGCAGCCGTTTCTGACGGGATTATCTTGCCATAACCTGAGAGAGAAACTGATCTGATCGAACGCTAATATTGTCACCAGGCCTAGTGCCACCTCCTACGTTTTGCATGGCAGTGAGCTGATCTGCTTGTCTCACCCACCCCAGTTCCCGCCCGCAGCTCCCCGCCCATCTGCAGCCACAACCAGAGGCAATTTGGGAGAGAGGAAGAGTTTTTTTTTTTTCCCCTGTGGCAATGCTGCCTTAAATGCAAACCCAATGACTTGCACGAGTTTGCACAGGTAATGCGCAGAACTGCTCAAGTATCCTATCTCAAACCCCAGGCTAGTGCCATCACGGTAGAGGACCTGGACCTCTTGAGCCTCAAAGCCTGGCACCCCTAAGGAGAAGTTTGCTTGATTTTTAAAGTTGATTGAATTCAGAAAGGAGGTGGAATATTCTAAAGCCAAACAAAGCCAAATAATTGGTGTGGAAAGAGGAAAAGATGTGGCTAGCTTTTAAATGGTTAAACTCATTTTGTTCAGCATTTGTAAAATACAATTGCCTTATTTTCATATATGCAACAAGAAAGTTTGTGCCCTTCGGAAAATACATTCTCGGACTTCAATAAGTGACAAAAATCAAGGACAAGAGTGAGCAGAAACAGGTGTGCTATAGGGTAGCAATGGTTTACCCTTCAGGTAAATCCCTCCTGTACGGGTATTACCCGTACATGCTCACCATCTGCCCTGCTGCTGAATCACGGGCTTAAAATAACAACAAACAACCCATGGGTTATAAAAATGAATATATGGTCATGCTTGTGAGGAAATTTCTTTGAAGAATGGCAGATACTGGTGTATTATCTATATTCAAACATTTAAAAACATAGATTTATAGAAATATGATCAATCACTTAGAGGGAAAAAAAAGAAACCAAACACACACGCTGCACTGCTGTGAAAGTATGACGATGTTCAAAGTACTTAAAGTTTAATCTGTTACTGGATTAAAAAAGAACCAAACCTATAGAGGAGTAGTGAATTTATGACCAGATTTCTAGATGCAATTCTGATAAATGAAAAATAATTATAGGGTCATATCATTCAAATATTTTCAAATCCTCTCAGGAAAAAAAAAATCTTAGAAAATAAAAATGTTTGCTTCCAGAAAATTTCTAAACAGTTTTTCCATATGTATTGGGTCAACAGGGATCTGTTGGCTAAGGTTAAAGCAACTTAGCTGCTAAGACAAAACTGCTTAAAATGAGAGCAGTTTTTAACCAAATCGAGGTGAGCTCTTGTGCATCCTGAACATCTGGGTCGGGGTCAGCGTGCGGCAGCCGAGCCCGGGGCAGCAGCTACTCTCACCCAACTTCCCACTGCTCCCTCTCCAGGCTGTTGACAAGATCATACCTGTGGCCCCACCTTCATTTTACAATGTGCTATTTAATACTCCACTTTATATTGTGTTTTTCCAGTCTAAAGAATTTTGACACGATCACACTAAGGGAAGGTATAAACAGGCAGTTTATGCCCAGAGGGCAGAGGGCAGAAGAGGGGCAACCAGCCTTGGGGAGCAGAAAGCGCTTCCCTCACCCGGCTGCAGCTTCAGGACTCGGACATGTTACTGCGAGGCAGTGCAATAGTAATTGATAAAAACGTTAAAATGGTGACGAGTGATTTTGAGAACCAGTCTCTGCAAGTCCTCTCTGAAAACATCCCTGCTCAGGGACGCTTCCTTTTTCAATTACAGTTTGAAACTCCATAACCCTTTTTCAATCCCTACTAGAGCTGCTTTCCTTGTAGTTTATGTAGCTTCAGATCTGGCGGAGCTGGCTGGCTGCACGCTGGTTAATTCTGTACTGGACTGTGAACGCAGGCATTATATTAAGCAACTTCTAGAAGCTTTTCCATTCTTAAGGCATTGCAAGGAGTTGGCCGGCAATCTCAGAAGTGCTTCAGAGCCACGAGAGTTCACAGCACGCCAGGATGTGGGGGTCAGGGCCGTGTCAGCCCTGCGCAGTCGGAAGGCTGCAATTTTCCACTTCATTCACGTTACGACAATTGCAACTTCTTTCGCAATTTGTTTATTTGCTCATCAGGCTGAGAACCTCCAGATTTGAGATTTTCCGGTTTATCTGCCCTGCGACCTCGCGGGGCCCCCCGAGGGGAAAAGGGGTGCCAGCTGAGCCCTGCTTTAGCCATGCGGCTCAAGAGCTCCCAGGTAATTCCAATACTGTTGCGCTTTCAGTAGAAAGCATTTCAAAATGCCTCTCTCGGCTCCACTTCTGCAGACCTGACGTCCCGCCGGTTAAGCCTGCGGATTTTGTTCCTTCCCCTGGGGAAGACGGTCCCGAGGAGGAGTGAGGCGGGCAGCGGGACTTTGCAAGGGGAGGAGGTACAACTTTGGAAGTCTCCATAGTCTTTTCCTTTCAGGAAACACATCCTGTTAATGTTTGACTGCCGCGGCAGTGGCTCTGTTTGTTGCAGTCGGCTACGCCCTGAGGCTCACCAAAAACAGCCACAAAAACAGCCATTTCCTCTTAGTTGAGAGACAGAGGGGAGGGGGGGGGAAAAGCCTTTTCCTCCCAGCAGCCTCTGTTCTCCAGTCCCTGCCACTCGCGGCTCTGATGTTCAGAGAGGGACACAGCAGAGCAAATTCCTCAAGAGGCTCCAACCTCTCCGAGTTCCTCTGGGATGAAAACATTCGCTGGGAGCTTGGCTGGGCTTTGAGAATGACATCTCTCACCGTTTGTGGGATATTCTGAAGGCTGCATCCCAAAAAGGCTTTGGGCGCTGTGCCGCTGGACTGCGAGGAAGCTCCGCTCCCCTCGCAGCCGCGCTCTGACCGCCTGAGGACCGAGGCGCGCCGCTGGCCAGCATTCCTCCCTCTCTCGCCCCGGCAGCAGCTCAGGCTCTCCTGCCTCAAGACTGGAGTCTTTCTGGATTCACCTTGTCTCTCAAGGAATGGACCTCCCTGTCTTTCAGTTCATCACAGGACTGGCGTTGCTTATCAAAGTGCAAGAAGGTGGATAAGCCAAAGCTGGGAAGGACAGAGAGACCTGCAAAAGCTTCTTTGTGTTCCTCTTTTATGGAATTCTCCTACCTACCTCGCGACATTCTCCTTTGCTTGATCAGCACCACCTCAGGAGTTGACTTTGAGAATGAACGGTGATGTCCTCTAGCCCTTCATAACATCGCATCGAAGCCGCCTCCACTACAAGTCCTATTTCAATGTGCTGCAGCTGATTGAGACCTTGTGTCTTCTGCAAGCAGATACTGGCAGCAAGCTGACAGTCAGATATGACTGTCCAGAAACTGGTAGCCACAGCTGTGTTGGTAGCCCTGGTCTCGCTTATTCTTAACAACGCAGCTGCCTTTACTCCCAACTGGGTGTACCAGACGCTGGAGGATGGGCGTAAGCGCAGTGTGGGGCTCTGGAAGATGTGCTGGCTGGCAGAAAAGGGCAGAGGAGGTGCAGGCACAGGTGCCAGGCACGGGCAAGGGGAGGAGCGCGAGTGCGAAGCCCTGGGCTGGGGTTCAGAATCAGCTGGGTTCCAGGAGTCTCGTAGTACTGTCAAACGTAAGTTCAATCTCTTGTCTTCTCTGCTTATGCTAGACTGCGATTGATTCAGTGCACCGGGTCCCGAGAGGCTTTATAGCCCAGGAGAGCAATACTGAGGAGGGCCTTTGCCTCCACGTAGCTCTCTGAAATCCATGCAAAAACACTTTGATTCTGAACATCTCTTAAGATTCAGCCCCAAATAAATACATTTGGGAAGGTGAGAATGATTGTGCTCACCAGAGATAAAGTAAACTCCTCCCTCCCTCCCTCCCTCCCAAAAAGAAGTATTCTCGATTGCACGGTCTGGGTTGTATAGCATACGGAAAGATGTACTCTGAAAAAAATACAGCTGTGAATTTTAAGTCTAAAGCTCTGAGAAATCTGCTGTTCACCCTTCCCTCTTCTCCTAGAAGCTTAGCCCTTCTTTCTCAATACAGTGAGCCCCTAACCCCGGTCGCTTTGAGTACTATACAAATTCAAAAAGAAACAAAAATGCTGTTCTGATACCATGCCAAGTTATTTCTCATTTTTGTTGGACGTGCCAGGAGGAGAAAAGACAGCAGCATTTTTGGCAAGCACATGTATAAAACTAGAGATGGGCCTTAAACATATGCATATTATTCTTGGTGAAAAAACCCACACACTTAGTATTCTGCTTGGGGAACGTGAAAATCCTTAGATATGGCATATTTCTTATTTTGCAAATTCACAGCCACATGGGACCCTGAGCAATAGATATAGCTTAAACTGAGCTCTAAGCTATTTAAAACTTATTTTTTTTTTTGTTCATTATATGAATAATAAAGAATGCACCTTACTTATCGCATTCACAACATTTAAGAGTGTGATCCTGCTCTGATCACGCAGATCAGAGCAGAACTGTGCTCAGAGTACCCGCGTTCAGCTCGGACACTGGCTGTGGCTATGGCTAAGGTGCCAAGAAGTTTGCTCCGCTGAAAGCCCCTGTTTTCAATAGCCGTCTTCTAGGAAGGCTCCTAAACAGGACAACAAGGGACAGGGGCTTTGAGCAGCAATGCCTTGGGGTTTGTTCATTCAGCCAAATCAATGTTTTAACCGAATCCTTCAAGGAAATAATTTTAACAGAACTTATATGGCTATAAAGTTGATACCATGACAGACACCGGGATATTCCAGAGATTTTAATAGTGCTCATCTGAGAATTGCCCTGGTGCCTCTGAGAACTCAGAAAAGTTATATTTGTAATTTAAGTGATTTTAGACAGAGCTTTTTCATGGTTGGAAATGCGAAGAGAAGCAAAATGCTCTGTTCCTCCTCAAGGCCTCTTATAACATCCCTCTGGAGACCAAAATGAAGAAACAAAAGAGGAATATCTTTCCAAAAAATGCTTCACTGTGGACCCATGCCATATCATTCTTTTGTAAAAAAAAAAAAAAAAAAAAAAAAGGGGGCGTTTTCTTGCACATGAGCTAATAATAGTAATAGTAGTAGTTGTAGTTTGGGGTACACCACAAATAGAAAATTTCTAAAATGTTATAAAGCCATTAGACCTGATTTTCATTTCTTTTTCAAAGAATGTTTATGGACAAATAGTTACAAAAATGATGAGACCACTGGAAAAGTTCCTCAATGTGTATCTGTAATTTTATCATTGTAGTCTCTGCCCTGCTTAGTATTCATAAGCCATGTTCTACCTTGAAAAACTTGCATGCCATTCATGAATTTTAAAAGTCCATGTTCTACATTCAACAGCTGGACTAAGCTTATGCATATTGAATTTGGCTCTTGCAGTGTTTTAAATATGCAAACGTGCGGGTATTTCTTGCTATGCTTAGTTCAGAAGATGGGGGGTGCTATAAAGATTGGCACAGACCTATCGATTTCAGAGCAGAATTGTATGGGCAGCTTTTTCTTACATCAAACATGCAAAATGGAAAATGTTTAAATTTACAAGTATTAATTATAGTATGACCAAGTCCCCATAAGAATTATTTTAGCTAACAAACACTCTTAAGAAACACTCCTCAGTTTAAAGAAGGACCTTGAAGCCTGATGACTCGATTTGTATAGGAATAAAGCATCCATTCACTATTTTACATGGGAGCATACAGTAAGAAAAAGGCAAAGTTTGAATCTTTAGAAAGCATTTAAAGGAAAATGTTACCTCTACAGCTGCATCAGGAGAAACTACTGAGGCAACGAATCCGTTGCATATGTTTTTAAAACAGATATTTCTGTGGGTTTCACACTCAGTTAATATGGGCCTGATTCTGCATCCAGATTTTTAGCATTGTAAAGAATTTCTCTAATAAGAAATCATGTGTTATTTTAGTATGATGTAATGCAATCCTCATCTGTCAGTTATAGATGAATCACCAAAAAAGTGTGTGTTTGTATATATATACGGATATATCACTTTCTGAATGAAGAAATTCATTCCTCAAAGATTTGAGTTACCATCTAATATTTTGCATGCCTGAAAAAAATTGCATTGCCATTTGAAGAACAGGCAGAAAACATGCTCTTCCAACAGCAATGCAAAAAAGGTCACAGTACCAGTCGTACAAAAATGCATTTTTATTTATACACACACACACACACACACACTCATATATATATGTGTATATTTACCTGGGGGACAGGTTATTTATCTCACAGTTCAGCAGAAACAAACTAAAACCTTTGAGAAGTAGCCTTTCCATATACTGACAACTTCTGCATAAATAATATGTAAATCATAACCGACTAAAGGCACCACTGGCAGTGAATTTCTCACTTACTAAAACTTAAGGGCCTGCTCTTTCTCCCATAGAAATCATTGGCAAAGCGCCTGTTCAATGGACAAAATAGAGGTAGGTTTCCCCACCCCCCTCCGACCCCCCATCACGCACACAACTCTAAGAAAATGATTCGCAAGTAGTTCATTGTGTCAGGACTTGCATATGCTTAAACTAAAATTAAACCGCAGGAAATTCAAACAAATAATAATTTAAGCCTTGCACATATAGGGAAAAAAATCAAAGTGAGTGATCTGTCAAAGGTCACACAGCGAGCGAACAGAAAAAGTCAGTGCGACAGAGCACATCCGCCAAAAGCCTCGCTAGAAGTGCAAAATCAGCCTCCATACCAAATAACTCTCTGATCAAGCCCCCCACTAACAAGACAGCTACGTGAATTATTCCATCGTAATAGGAACGACTGGAGCAAGAGGAAAACTAAGGCGCTTTGCATTCAAATCCCGTAACGTAGACACAGCATCAAGGATGTGGAGGGGTCAGTAAAGGAACGCTGCTGTGAATACCAAAACATAAAAGACACAAGGGGAGATTACAGACGCTGCAGCAAAGAGATGCCCTGGGTAAAAAGGATTAGGGACAGAAAAAACAAAGTCCAGGGACAGGAGTTTCTCATATAAACCAGCAAATCTGTGCATCTAGGTATTAATTTAGAAAATTTAAGTTAAAGATTCCTGAGTGAGGGTTGCTGTACGTACTGGATATTCAGTGGAAATGTTTAAGTAAAAACACAGCAAAACATATAGGAAATAATAAGCAGTGGAACGAGCAATTAAGACACTCTCATTAAAACAATCTTGTTAATTCATCAGATTATTAACCTCATAACCTTTACCACCAACAGCCTAATCATACAAATTTTCCCAGTATATGCAGTTTGCACAACTGACTTCCTCCCTCCCACTATTTAAAATACGCGCTGATATAACACCATGCTCCTCACTCCAATGAAAGCGTGTCCATAGGGGAGCGCAAGTCAAGGTAGCACGGTGGAGCAAAGCTCGCCTCCTCACCCCAGGGGCAGGAATAACAAAAGCATTGCATCACGTGAGCGCCTAAATACTACACAAACGCACCATAAAAAAATCCCCAGACACAATTTTTGATCCCTCTGGCCAAATAAGAGAGTCACAGAATGGTTTAGGTTGGAAGGGACCTCTGGAGATCATCTAGTCCAACCTCCCTGCTCATTGCAATCAGTCCACTGCAATCAGATAGTAGCTAAGATGCAGCACCTAGCAGTGCAAAAAGGGCAGCATGGAGTAATGCAGCGTCGCTTCTTCTTGTTGCTTCTGCAAGCAACACCTCGCTGCTCCAGCAAGGAGGAGGTCTCAGGCCCTTCCACCTCTGTCTTTATCCATTTCTTCCTTCTCTTCTTACTATGCAGTCCTGCACCCACCCTTTTTTCAACCATCTGTTACACCAAAAAGCTGCTGTGAGCCAGTTCAAATGACTAACAGCAAGAAAATAGCCCTCCCCTCCAAACCTGGCTATTTTTTTGCTTGGTTATTTATGTTGGATTAAGGAGTTGTCTCTGGAGTCCAACAAGTGCTGCTGCTAGGGCGACGATGGGTGAGAAAGGCTCCCTTTGAGTAGCAGTAAACTAGCAGATCGGAAATCTTTCTTTATCCCCAGAATGAGAGCCCAGTTATAAGGATACCAGGCAAAATATTTCTAGCACGCGTAAGCCACTAAACGGTATAAACTTCAAGGTCTTAGCACGGCATATATTTCTCTCAGTGGGAACTTGACTGGCATGCCTCCACTTCAAAACCCTCCAGAAACAACCTAGTCACTTAACTTAATTCTCACATCATCTGAGCGCGGGCAAAGAAACTCGCCAAAAGTCGCAGAGATTCAGTTTCAGAGCTGCTCTAAGATTTTGGATTCTGCCACGCAGTTTGGCTCTTACGTGCACCTCTTAACTCTCCAAAACACATGCTGCTAAATTCACGCGCGTAGTCAGCACTTGGGTCGGAGAGCATGTCTTGAGTGCTCAGTACTCAGCACCGCGGCCATTTAACAAACGAGCAGACGCAGAATACCATGCAGTGCAGCATCGTGCAGAGACACAGTAGCTATGTTGAGTACCAAAAATGTGTAGTTACAACACCTGGAAAACACTGCCAGAGCAAACTGGACCGGCTCAGAGCCGCCACTGCCTAGTTCCTGGCCCAGCATCAAGGCACTAATACTGCCTTGCGCCACTGCGGACACGCCAGCTTACTTGGAATTAGTCTAGAT